AGCGGCGGCCACCACTGCCTGCTCCTCAGGAAGCATGCCGCCCGCCTGCTGCTCCTCATGCTCCTCTCGCAGCACCGCCGCCGCCACCACCTCCTGCTGCAGGCCGCCGCCGCCGCGGAAGCCGTGGCCGCCGCCGCGGCGGGGCAGCATGCCGCAGGGGCAGCGGCGGCGCAGCAACAGCAGGAGATGGCCGGCGCGGCGGTGCCAAGAGACCAACATGAGCAGCAGCAGGCCGGCAGCATGCCTCCCGAGCAGCCCGCAGTGCCAGCCGCCACCCCCGCGCCTGAGGCGCCCCCTCAGGGCGACACGCCTCAGCAGCAACTGGAGGAGCAGCAGCAGCAGCAGGAGCAGGAGGAGGAGCAGCGGCGGCGGCACCACGAGCAGGAGCGGCACCGCGTGCTGGAGGAGCAGCAGCAGCGGCTGCAGGCGCTGCGCCAGAAGCAGCAGCGGCTGGCGGAGGCGGCGGCCGCCAGGCAGCAGCTGGTGGCGGCGGAGGCGGCTCGCATACGGCAGGCGGCGGCCGAGCAGCAGCAGCAGCAGCAGCAGCAGGCCTCTGAAGCAGCGCACGGCGCTGCCGACCCAGTTGTACCCGCCTCCGCTGGCGTGCTGCCGGCGCCGGACCTGCAGGCGCCACCCACCCAGCCGCCTCATCCCGCACAGGCGGAGCCACAAAAGCAGGCGGCGCAGGAGCAGGCTGCGGGCCAGCCAGCCCCGGGCCCAGCCCCAGCGCCGGTGCCCCAGCCTGCCCACGCATCGCAGCAGGCACAGCAGAAACAGCCACCGCAGCAGGCTCAGCAGGCCCAGCCGCCGCAGCAGCAGCACGCAGCCGAGGTGCAGGCCAGCCCCGGCGGCCTGCCGCTCCCTCAGGCCGATCCAGCGCTGCAGGCGCCGGCGCCACAGCAGGCACAGCACGCGCCCTCGCACCACGCGCCGCCGCCACAGCCGGCTGCGCAACAGCAGGAGGGGGCACCTGGGCCCCCGGGGGTGCAGCCTGCTGGCGCGCCCACCCCGCACGCGCCCACCCCGCAAGCGCCCACCCCGCACGCCACCCAGCGGCAGCAGCAGCAGCCTGTCCCGCAGCAGGCAGCTGTGCCCCCCAGTGGTGCTCCCGAGCTCCCAAAGCCGGCTCCCGATCGGGTGCCTGCACCTCAGCAGGCACACCAGGCACACCAGGCACACCAGCAGGCACCTGCCCCGCACTCTGGTTCCCCCGCGCCAGCCGGTGAGCCTGCGGCCGAGCCCGCCCTGCCCAAGCCTGCAGGAGAGCACCAGCAGCAGCCTCCTCCCCATCAGAGCGGCGACAGCACCCGCCCGGCAGCTGTGCCGCCGCCCACCGGCGACGCCGGGCTGCCCAGGCCCGCGGGAGAGCAGGCGGCGGCGGCGGCGCAGCCCCAGCCAGCCCACGCTGAGCGGCACCACTCGTCTATGGGCCGCAAGGCGGGCGGCATGGAGCAGGCTGGGGAGGGGCAGCACCCCCAGACGTGCACGGCGGAGCAGGCCGCCGCGGGCACCTGCGTGGCACCTCAGTGACCGGCCGACTGATATATATCTATATGTTGACGCATGCACCCGCCCGTGGCCCACTTTCCATCCATTCTTCCCGACACCTCAGCATGCCGCGCCTTGTGGTTGCTGATTATTTTTCTTAGTCTGCTGCCGTGATGCGATGCAAGCAAGCATGTTTATTGTTTATGCGTGTAATGCGCAACAGAATCAAGAATCGGGCCAACTGCGCGAGACCAGCTGGGTGCAAGCAAGCAGGGCTGGTCGGCTGCTGCCTGCACGCTGTGCAGCCTTCTGAGCCGGCGCCTGCTGCCAGCCAGCCTGCCCGGCCCTGGCCTGGCCTGCCTCACGAAACAGTAAAGGCAAACATCCAAGGCTCCAGCTCTCCCGTGGCGGGGGTCATGCAGCGGCCTCGCTCCCGCAGCTCCTGGCCGGGCGTCCCCACCAGCCACGGCTGCGGGTGGGGTGGGGCAGGCGGGCGAGGCAGGCGGGTGGGCTCAGCCAGGCTGCGGTTGAGCTCCAGGGCAGGCCAGCCGGCGACAGACGGCGGCAGGCAGGCCGAGGGCAGGGGCGCCAGGCTGGACAGGAATGAGCTCAGGGTGCGCTGCCAGAGGCTGAACAAGCTCTGCAGCTGCCCCCAGGCGCCTCCCAGGCCGCTCTCACCTGCATCACCACGCAGACCTCATACGCGCCGCCATCCCCGGCATCCCCTTCCTGCCTGCAGTCGCTGAGCTCGCCCTCCTCCCTCTTGAACCTGCAGGCATGCGTGCGGCCGTATGGGTGGGGGCCAACTTGAAGCGGCCTGCTCGCTCCCGCAGGCCACCAGTCGGCCGCCAGCCCGCGCCCTGTGCCGCCACCCGCGAACGCCGTGCAAGCACGCGCGAGCACCCAGCCGCTGCCTGGTGCGACAGCTGCCGGTGGGCAGCCAGCCGAGCAGGCAGGCAGGCAGGTAGGCAGGCAGGCCGCAGGGAAGGCGGGCAGGCACCCCACCCGGTCTCCTTGCCCTGCAGCGCCCACACCAGCGCGCGGTTGGGCGCGGCGCCGTGCCGCGCGAACAGCGCCTCCCACCAGGTCCGCGGCCGCAGCGTGGGGTGCAGCGCCTCATTCTCGTGCGATTTCAGGCTGATGCTCATGACGATGTGGCGCCTGGCCACCCTGACTAGCTCCGCCGCCACCTCGTCCGCCTGGCCGGGGAGTATGTGCTCCAGAACGTCGCCGCTAAACACCAGATCGAACTGCTTGTCTGCAGCGCAGGGGCGCATCCCGGCGGCAGCGGGGCGGTGGGTGGCGGCGGCGGGTAGCTTACCTGGCCTTGTCTGCAGGCATGCAGGGGCGCATCCCGTCGCGGGGCCGGCCGCCCGGCGGCAGCGGGGCGGAGGCTAGCGGCAGGCGGCTTAAGCTACTCCAGCGGCCCGTCACCGCCACCACCGCCATCCAGGGGTGTGCACTGGGTCTGTGCCCTGCCATCTCCCAGCATCCCGCTCCGGAGGATCCTTCCCAGCCTGGCAGCCGGGCTCTTCTTCTTGCCTTGGTACGGCAGGTTGGTGAGGCTGCACTGCTCCACCAGCCCCGCCTCCAGCAGGTCCCCGGCATCCCGCTCCAGCACCGCCTGGCTCAGCTCTATGCCCCAGGCGGCCTTGCCGCGCCGCCGCATCGCGCGCACGACCTGGCTGTTGCCTGCCGTGGCAGGGGGAGGGGTGGTTCTGGGTGTGTCAGGCGGCCGCGGGCAGGGCGGCAGGCAAGGGGTAGACAAAAAGGGCCACCCAAGCGGAGGGCCGACGCAGCAACGGTGGGGCAAAGGTCGGGGTTCCCGGCCTACCCACTTCGGCTTCCCACCTGTGCCTGCATCCAGCACCGAGTCGAACTCAACCTTTGCCACGACGTCCGCCACAAAGCGGCAGCCCCAGCAGCTGTTCTGGGCGTAGCTGTGGTTGCTCGCAGTCCACATCCTGTCGTACAAAGCCTGGTTGGAATTGGCGGCAGGCTTGAAGCCCGGCCGCCGCAGCGGGGCGACGGCTGCACTAGCATGCTTTTCCTTCTGCCGGGCATCATGTGCCACAGGGTCGTAAGCAAAGTCGATGCCAGGCGCCGCCGCCGCTGTGGCGCCTTGGCAGCTCCCACCGCCGCCGCCGTTGGCGGCGGAGCTAGTGAGCGCAGGCTGGCCTCCCGCCCGGCGAGCCAGGTGGTAAACCAGCAGCGACAGCGGCACCAGCAACAGCAGCAGCCGTGTGCGCCGGCCGGGAGGGTCCGAGGCACTCCTCATGTTGGGCGCCCCTCCGATCAGCTTGCTCTACACGCTCATGGGTGGAAGGCAGGCAGGCAGGGGATTGACATCGTTTGGTGCCGGCACGTGGCATGCTAAGTACGCCGACGTACCCACACGTTTTGAACGTTTGAACCAAACCAATACTTACGCGTCCATGGGGCCAGGATAAAGGTGGTGAGGTCGGGAGCGTCAGGGTGAGGACGGGAGCGGCCGGCATGCGCATGAGCGGGCGGCGGCGGCGGCAGCTGGCAGGCACAGCTGCAGAGGCGGGTGACGGCATGCGCCTTACATCCTGCTGGGCCGTACAACCAATGCCAGAACCAGTCATTGTCGGTTTAATGACAATAAGCGATGCAAAATGTGGAATGAAGAAGAACGTTTCAGGACAAGCTTGGAAGGAGTGTGGCTGGCGGCAGTGAGGGCAGCAGGACGGAGGGGTTTTCGATTTGACAGCAGGCACTTGCATGGGTCACTACACACTGCAGCACACTTGGGACGTCCTAGTTGCATACTAGGCGGATCCTACGCCTGGCTGACTGCCGCCCACAGCAGCCGGCACGTAGCCGACCCGCCAGCGCCGCCGCGCCAGCCTGCCCGCAGCTCGCACCGCGACGTCGACAGAACCACCGCTCGCTCGGCAGCTGCAGGCGGCCCGTGGCTGCCTCCGCCCCGCCCCGCCAGCTGGCTGCCGGTCAGCCCTTGAGGAAGCACCACTCGGCGTCGCTGTCCTTGCGCAGCAGCAGGTACACCTTGCGTGCCTTCTGCGCCGCCAGGACCAGCGCAGCAGGTAACTGTCGGTGGGGCCTTCGCTTTGCAACCAGCGCAACAGGTGGCTACATGCGACACGCCCACGCAGCAGACTCCCGGCAGCATCGCACGCACGCGCTCCACCAGGCAGGCAAGACGGACAGCGGCCCCACCTGGTTCACTTTGGCACGGCACTTTTGGGGGATGAGGCGGCCGTAGAGCCGGGGCAGGTGCAGGTGGTAGGCGGCGCCCGCCCCCACCGCCCACATCTCCAGGTGGCGCTCGCCAAACAGCACCCGCACCTGCGACGGCGGCGGCGGAGGTTAGAGAGGGCACACCCGCGCTGCGCTGCCGGCTGCTCAGGGCTGCTCAGCTCTGCTCGCCTGCTCGCACAGCAGCAGCGGTGTGGCTGATCCCCGCTGCCGCCACCGCAGACAGTGGCAGTGGAGGGCCAGGCGGAAGCTGGGCGGAAGCCGGGCGGGACAGGCAGGCCCACCTGCTCCAGCGGTACCGCCTCCTCCAGCTGGCACACGACGCACAGCTCAAAATCGTCGTCAATGAACTTGTATTGCTGCAACTCCCGCCTGTACAGCACAGTACAAGCAAGCAGTACAACACATGTGTGGGTCATGACTGAGGCGGGGGCAGGAGCCAGGTCCCGTCAGGGTTACAGACAGGCAGAGCCTCGGGCAGGCGGCATGGCGGCAGTCAAGAAGGCGAGCAGCCGTCAGGGCAGGCAAGCGGGGTGCACCTCGGGAGGTCTGGGGGCAGGTCAGACACATCGATGATGTTATCTGGCTTTGCAACAAAGGCCTGGACAGGGGGATGCCAGCGGGCAGGCAGGCATGGCTGTGCACGGGTGGGCATCGAGGGGCGGCCGAAAGGGCGGCACCCCGCTGCGGCACCAGCCACTAGCAGCAGAGGACGGCAAGCCGCGAGCCAACGGCAGGGCAGGAGAGGCGGCGTCACGCTGAGCAGACCAGAGCATGGCAGCGGCAGGGCGCAGAGGCCTTGTTCACCTTGGGCTGGGGGTCTTCATATGGCAGCCCCTCCTCTTCCAGAGCAGGCGCACCAGCAACGCCACCAACGCCAGCCGCCGCCGCTGCCACTGCGGCCGCCAGCCGGGTGCACATGCCCGCCTGGCCAACGCTGGCGGCGTCGCTGCTGGGAGCCTTGGTGGCGGCGCGGCTGCCGAGCAGCCGCTCCAGCAGGCGCTGCTGGGCAGCCTCCCAGACGGGCGCGTCCGCAAAGTTGAGCTGCTGCAGCGAGGCAGCGATTCTGTCTGCCGCCATGCGCATCCCGGGCAGGTCGCCTGTGGGGCAGAGGGCCAGAGAACAGCAGCGGCGAGCATCGGAGGTTGAGCGGCAGCCTTTGCCTGCCTGCCGGCACCGCCAAGCGGGTGGCTATCCATGCACTGGAAGCTCCATTCATGCATGCACCAACAGCAGCCTGTCAGCCGCACCGGTGCACCCGCAGGCAGGCAGGCAGGCAGGCACGGCAGGCGGGTTCCCCCGGTGCCGGCAGCCCACCTGCAGAGGGCCCCACGGTCAGCAGGCTGCCCCTCCCCGCCAGGTAAACCCCCGCCCCCGGCCAGCACAGGTGCTCATCGTCCAGCCAGGCATAGCCGCCTGTGATGGCGGTGGGGCGCTGCTGGGCCAGCTGACTCAGGACCGGGTCGGCGGCGGCGTTGTAGGCGCTGCCGCATGCCAGCCACACGAGCTGGGCGCTCAGGTGCCGCTCCCGCGCCCCCTCGGCAGGCCGCTGCGCGGCAAGCGGCGGCTGCGCGGCCGCGGCGCCGGCCGCGGCCCCTTCTGCTGCCGCCGCCGCCGCCGCCGCCGCCGCCGCCGCGACCGTGGCGGCCACGGCCTGCTGGAAGAGGGAGGGCCCAGCGGTCGGCCGCTGCGGCTGCTGGGCTGGCGCATAGGGCTTGAGGGTGAGCAGCCAGCTGGCGCCGGCAAACGCCTCTGGCGCCTCCCGCTGCGCCTGCTGCTGCTCCTCGGGACGCTCCTGCGCTGGTTCTGCCGCCGCCACCTCCCAGCCCTCCAGCACCGTCAGCCTGCCGGCCGCCGCCTGCTGCGTCAGGCGCCGCCACAGCGGCAGGTGCACGGAGCCCTGCCTGCGGCACAGCAGGCAGCAGGCGCGGCCACAACCTGTCAGGCCTCAGGGGCAGGCAGGCAGGCCAAGCACACGCGCCACAGACGGCCACCTCGTGGGCCGCCCACGAGGAGGAGCGGCTCCTCCGGGCTACGCCTGCAACCGACCTGCGGGCGCGTTGGCAGGCGCGGATGCGCTGCGCCGCGCTTTCCACCTGGCGGTACCCGTTCAGCTCCTTGGCGCCCCACCACCCCACCTCCGTGTCAAACGGCTGCGGCTTGAGGGGCCTGCGGGGACGGATGGAGGAGAGCGGGGCAAGGTTCCGGCAGTGCAGGGCGGTCTGGGATCAGGCCAGTGCAATGCAGCACAGGGCACAGGGCACAGTAACATAGCCCGCAAAACGACAGGTGCAGGTCCTGCCAGGCCAGGCTGAGCCGCACCTGCGGCACACGAGTGCCACGTCGGCGCCCCGCTCCGCCGCCCCGGCGGCCAGCAGCCCCGCAGCCATGCCGCCGCCCACCACCACCACGCGGCGCCCCTCCAGCTCAGCGTCGCGCAGCTGCACGGCGTCTGACGTGGCGATGCCAGCTGGCAGCCGCGCCTGCTGCTCCACACCCACACCCTGCTTTGCCTCCGCACGGCCAGAGGCGCCACAGGCGCCCTCCACGTCTGGCTCTGCAGGCACGCATGGGTCGGCTGGAGGCGTGCACGGCTGGGGAGGCTCCGCCAGCTGGCGCGCCCAGGCTGGCACGACGGCGCGGCGGTTGGCTGGCGTGTAGACGACGGCGCGGGCCGCCAGCAGCCGGCCGCTTGCCAGGTGCACCCGGCAGCCTGCAGGCGCCGGGAAGAGGGAGTCCATGGGGCAGTGTGGGAGGGGAGAGAGCGGGAGATCATGCAGAGCACTGATCTCAAGGAGCAGTTGGCAGCAGCAACAGATGCAGCAGGTTCTGCGGCTGCAGCGGCAAGGACGAGCGTGCCGGCAGGCAGCAGCGAGCGGGGCAGGCAGCAGCGGCCCACCTGCCCCCTCCACCGCCTCGATGCGAAGCACGGTGTCCCGCCGCGGCGTGCGCAGCGCCGGCGGCAGCCGGCCAATCACTTTGGCGTGGCAGAAGTCGAGGAAGAGTGGCAGGGAGGGCACCGGCGCAAAGCCTTTGACAACAGGCACCAGCTCCTGCGCACAGGGCGCAGCAGTAGCGCACTGTCACAGTGGGAGGCTGTGGTGGATGACAGCCATCGCCTGCCCCCCTGATGACTCGCCAAGAATGAGCCATGGCACAGTTGCGCTGGCTCTGCTTCTGCTGCACATGCCAGCGCCGCCGGCCGCACCTGCTGGCGCCCGTGCTTGACTGCATAGGCCTGCAGGGCCAGCGGGCTGGCATGCGGGTGCTGCGTGACGGGCGTGCGGAGCAGAGGAGAGCCCAGCCGCTCATGCCGTGCCGACCAGCGCGCCAGCCAGATTCCGGTGCTGTCCACCACCACGGTTCTCTGTAGGAGCCGCGAACAAAGTGTGGACTTAGGAAAGGTTGTGCGGCAGGGCGAGGCAGCGGCGTCGGGCGGCACCGTTGAACGACCAGCGACCGTGCTCAAAGGCAGGCATCACCTCGAGCAGCTTTTCCGGCAGCCTCGACACCACATGCAGGCCCGCAAGGCCCGCGCCCAGGACCACCAGCTCGCACTGCTCCTCCTCGAGGCCCTGCATCACGGTCAACAGAGGCAGCAGCAGGCGGGTAAGCTCGCTCTGTGCAAAATTGCAATCCAGCAGCTGGATGCAGGTGTTCGGGCCACCTGCAGCTGCGCCATTTGGGCGATCGATCGTGCACGAAAGAGGAGTAAGCACGGCAGCGCTCCGCAGCGCAGTGCAGTGACCCGCGGACTTGTATATATATATAAGGTTTGGCGGAGCCCCGAGCCGGGCAAGTGCAAGGAAGGCGAGGAGGCCAGCCCGACTTTCCAGCCCATCGGGCCGCCGCCGCCGCCGCACCGCTGCCGACACAGCGCGGGAGCAGGGCTTTGGGCCCACCCATCAGCCGTGCAGGGAGCCAGAGGAGCGCCCCACAAATCTTGCTGCAACTCCCCAGTTGCAGCTCTCGGCACCTGTGCCTGCTGCCTTTTTGCCGGTGCCAGCCAGCCTGTGTGTTGCCCTCAGTGTGCACGTGCAAGGGCAGGGTCACGCAGGCAGAAAACAATGCAGGTTGCCTGCTTCAGCTCGAAGTCTAGCATAAGACACCCTTCTAGCGGTTTGAGTTGCTGCCGCACCCAACCGTTCCTCCCCGTGACCCCAGCCCAGCAGTCCCGCGGGTGCAGGAAGCAAGCGAGGGCAGCAAGGGGTGGGGCCCAGCAGCGGGAGCCGCTTGCCCAGAGGGCGGGCGGGTGGGCAGGCTGGCTGGCTGGCTGCTGGGGTCACACGAGCCGGCCCAGGAAGCAACCTGCTGTCGAGGGTTGGCGGCGCGATGCGGCAGCGATGTCGTCTGGCAACGGTCTTGGCCTGGGGCCTGCCTCGGCCTCGCCTCCCCGGCAGTCATCAGCAGGCTTCTCCGCCGGCCTCCTGGCCGCGCTGCGATGCGGCACACCTCAAATCTCACCCTCCTCGGGCTCTGCAGGCGCAGGCACATGGCAAGCGAAATCCAGGCAGGCGGTCAGGACTAGGGTCAGCAGCTGAGCAGCCACGCCGGCAGCTGGCTCAAGCTGAAGCTGGCGGTCCTGGTAAAGCGGCCAGCCGGGCCGGCCGGCCAGTCGTGGCCAAACCAGGGTGCTCACCCTTTGCCCGTTCGGAGCGGGTGCGGCTGCGGGAGCGGCTGCGGGAACGGTCCTTGTGCTTGCGGTCCTTGTGCTTCTTGCTGCGCCGCTCATCGTCGTCGGAGCGGTCGTCGTGCCTGCGAGCAGTTGCGGGGCAGGATGGAGGTATTGAGGCGAGCGCGAGGCTGAGGGTTTTGGGCTTGAAGAGCAAAAGGGAGGATGGAGGGAGAGGAGGAGATGAGGGGATGTGGCGGGGCTATGCATCCCAGCCGCCCATGCGCTGCCATCAGCGCAGCGGGGCGGGCGGCTGGGTCTTCGGCGCCCGCTTGCTGTGCCCACGTTGGAAACGAGCGGCGGCCGCTGGGAGGGATCCGCAGCCCCATCGTGCATGGGGTGGTGCTTACAATACACACAAGGGGCCAAGACAGGTGGCAGGCCCAGGCCGTGCCATGCAGCTGCTGCAGCCTCTCCTGGCCACACCCTTGCTAACCCCTGGCCAGCGCCCTGTTACCAGGACCACCGTCCCTCAGCCCCACCTGCTCTTCTTCTCCTTCTTGTGCTTCTTCTTCTTGTCCCGCCGATCCCCCTCCTCCTCGCCGCCGCTCGTGCCGCCGTCCTCTCGCCCGCGCTTGCGCTCGGCACGCTCCGCCTCCTTGGCCTGCGGAGGCAGACGGGGCAGGGGTCAGCTGAGACGGGCAGACACTGGCTGGGCGTGGCGCCAGTCATGGAGGGCTGAAGGGTGCTGGTTCCACCCTGGCAGCTACGCACTGCTGCCTCCCTTGCCCTTCAGGACGAGACAGCAGCCCCTTCTCGCCAAACCTTGTCCCTTCCCTGGGCAACCGTTGAGCCCCTTCCTAAACTCCATACATGTATCTGGCCGCCGCACAGCCGCACGATCGCCCCCGCCTCTGCTGGACATGCACAGACAGACGGACCATCACTCCCGCCTTAAGCTGCGCTGGAAACCCACCTTGAGCTTCTCCACGTGCTCCTCAAACGCCGCCCGCCGCTCCTCCTCGCCCTCCAGTGCCCGCCACTCGGGCTCGCCGCCGCACAGCTCCGCCGCCGCCTCCCAGGTCGTGTCGTGCTTGATGCCCCGCATGTGCTTCAGCATGTAAGCAAAGTCCTCCCTGGCGCGGCGCAGCTGCAGGTGGACAGGCGCAGGGGGGCAGGACGCGGACTCAGCATGGCCAGATGCAGGGGTGGGTACAGGTGGGTGGGCACGCAGGCAGCGCGGGCGAGGCAAAGAGCGTGTGGGCTATGCCGCGCTCCTGGCCCGATCAGCCGTCTTGTCGGGCAGCCCGGCCGTCTTGTTAGCCAAAAGCCTGCGCAGCCAGCATGTGCAGCGGACCTCCCGCACACCCCACACATCACCATCGCCACACCACAAACGCACCCCCACCAGCCAGCCCTCCGCAACCCTAAACCAATCTGAAGAAACACCCAACAACAGCGGCAGTGCCCGCCCACCTTCTTCTCCGCCTTGTAGGCCTCCTCCTTGGCCCGCCCCACCAGCTCATCATGGTACAGCTTGCTGCGGTACGGGTGGGCGGTACCGGCAGCGCGTGCAGCGCATCAGGCGTGGGCACGTGGCAGGCGGCCAGTGTTTCCAAGCGCAGGAACCAGGAGCCAGGAGCCAGGAGCCGGAGAGACCCTTGACAATCAGAGGGAAGGAGCAGCCGCTACCGGGCACAACACCCAGCAAAACACAGGCCCCATGCCGGCGCCGCAAAGCCACCCTGCCGGCCGCCGGCCCGCCAGTCCCCAGCTCACATGGTGGCGTCGGTCACGCCCGCCAGCGTGCCTCCCTCGCCCCGCTGCGGCGCCAGCGCCTCGCGGAAAGCCTCCAGCTGGCTGTCGGCGCCCACCTGCGGGGGCGGGCACGGAGGCAGAGGCTGGGTGCGAGGCATACCCTAGCCATAGCCTAGCCATAGCCATATGGCATGGAGCCCGATGGATGCTCCCCTGCCGCACGCCTGCCCCAGCAAGCAACCCCTTTTCTTGTCACAACGCTGGGACGGCGCATCAGCGGCACCAAACAGCTGCTGCTAGCACGTCACTGCCAGTGGTGGTGGCAGCAGTAGTAGCAAGCGGCCCCACCTCCAGGCCCAGCTCCTTGGCCGCCGCCTTGACCGCCTCCCGCTGCTTGCCATACTCCGCCTCCATCTCCTCCAGCACATCCTGCGGAAGAAAGAACAGAGGAAAAGAAAGAAGGGAAGCGCAGAAAAGGAGGGGCATGGGTCAGCCAGCAGGCCAGCAGGGAGCACCAGCATGGAGGGCACAGCCCGGCCAGCACGCGTTCGGTGGTGGTCGCTGCCATGCGAGGCACCGCAGGCTGCCGTCGAGGGGCCCTCCCCGGCTGGCGAGAGGCGCCCCTCACCAGGAAGAGCTCCTTGGGGCGGGAGCCAGAGGCGTTGCGCTCAACGGCCTTATAGCTCTCCTCCTCACTCACAATGGGAACATACTCCTGCAGAGCGGCACCAGTGGGGCGGCCTCGGCGGTTGCGGTGGCGGGCGTGGCTGAGCTGGCAGCGTGGCTGAGCTGGTGGTGTGGCTGATCTGGCGGTGTGGCAGGCTTGCGTGGCGGGCTGATGCTGCTGCCAGTGTTCGTCACACTGTGGGGCTGCCCGTCTTTTCCCTGCTGGCAAGCAGCCACTGCCGCCCGCCCTGCACCTTCCAGCGCGTCAGGGCGTTGATGATACCCTCCTCGCGGTGCTTGGCCAGCAGGGCGCGGAAGGCGTCCCTGCGGGGAGTCGTGGCATGCACAGCGTGCAGAGCAGCCTTGGAGGAAAGCTTGGCAACTGAATATCTACAAAAACAAAGCGTATACCCGCCGCTCCCAGCAGCAGTCGTATCACAGGAGCCCCCAGGCCTGCACAGCAGCAGCTGCCCGCGCCCGCGCCCCGCACCTGGCCAGCCGCTCCTGCCGCCGCCGCTCCTCCTTCTCCTTCTCCCGCTCCTCGCGGTGCACCCGCTCCAGCTCCCTGCGGCAGGCAGGCGGCGGGAAGGGCCGCGCTCCTACTCAGCAAAGCCCCTGAGCCCGGGCACCATGCAATGCCGCCCCTGCTTGCAACCGCCAATACAGATGAGCAGCCTAACGACAGGGGCAGCGGAGCGTGTATGGCGGTACCGCCTACGGTACCTGATGTACTCCTCAAACACCTCCAGCCGGTCCAGCTTGTCCAGCGCCTCAAACTCGGGCTCGCCTACGGTATCACCGGCAGAACCACAATCAAGCAGCGCCAAACCGGCAGCATAGCTGCCCCACCAGCAACGCAACAGCGGAGGAGTAGGCGCAGACGACCTCCCCGCCCGCCCGCCTGTCGGTGCATGGCAGCAGTGCAGCGCAGTGCCGTGCAGACACTGGGTGCAGCCCAGGCCCAGTGCCTGCTGCCTGGCGGAAGCCGGCCAGGAAGCTGCCCTGCCCCACGGCACCGCGGCCTCACCCGCCAGCCGGTCCTGCGCCTTGCGCCAGGCGGTGTCGTGCCTGACGTGCTTGGATCGCTCCAAAAGCTCCCGGAAGGCGCCCCGCCGCCGCTTCGTCTCCGCCCGCCGCGCCTCCTTCTCCTGCGCTCGCGCACCCAGGGCAAGCCAGCGCACCCAGGCATGTGAGGCACCCCAGGCATGTGAGCCACGCAGGGAGATGGCGCGGCCTGGCCGGCAGCCTCCCTTGCGGCGCGCACCCGGCCTGGCTGGGCGGCAGGCAGCGGAGCGATACGCAGCGGCACGGCGTGCGCAGGGTCCAGCCCGCAGCCGCCAAACCACGCGCCCCACCTGCTTCTCCTTCTCGTCCACCCAATCCTCAAACAGCTCCTCCCGCTCCTTGCCGGCATCCACAGCCTGCAGGGGCAGGCCAGGCGTGCAGGTGCTGAGCCCGGCGCCGCGGCGGGTGGCGCGGAGCGGCGGCAGCACGTGGCAACACTCGCGCCGCGGGCTGCGCCGCTCCCACCCGGCTTCCACCCAGCTTCCACCCAGCTCCCACCTGCCAGCGCGCATCCAGTTCCAGCAGGTCGCGGGCGCGGCTGAACTTGGGGCGGTGCCCCGCCGTCACTTCCAGCTCCTTGCACTCATCCAGCATCGCATAGAAGCCCTCCTTGGCCTGGGGAGGGGCAGAGGGAGGGAGCAGGCGGGGCAGGCGGCGTGCGCGGCGCAGGGTGGGGCACGAGAGGGAGAGCCGGGGTGGAGAGGCAGAGGGATGGCACGAAGTGGGGGCTGGCAGCAGCCCCGCCTGCTGCCGCTCCTGCGGCACTGCACCACGCCTCCCGTGCTACGCCGCCGGCTTGCAGCCTCCTTCTGCCATCCCCACAGCCTCCCCAGCTGCCCGGCACACTTGGTCCACCGCCCGCCGCGCGCCGCCGCCCGCGTGCGCACCTGCATGCGCCGCTGCCGCGCCTCCTCCGCCTCCTCCTTCTTCCGCTGCTGCACATACTCGTTGTAGGCAGTCTTCTTCTCGCCCAGCGTCTTGAGGGCGCCATACCTGCGGTACAGATGGGCAGTACACCAACCCAGTGGGCACGGCGGCGGCAGAGCGGCGTGTGCTGCGAGCCGCAGCCGTGGCGCCGGGCAGCGCAGGCGGCCCGATCTGGCAGTGGCACCCAGCTCGCAGCTGCACCACCACCACAACAACCACTCCCCGTTCTTTCCACCCGTCCTCTCCACCCCAAAATCGCCCTGCCCACCCCACCTGCGGTCCTGCACAATCAGGCGCATCGATTCGTCCCAGCTCATGCCGCTGCTGATCCCCGCCTCTGTCAACAGCTGCTTGAACGCGTCCTTGGCCTCGGCGGTGGTTGCGTAGTGTGGCGTGGGACCCGTCTGCACCCAGTTGGCCGCAGCCGCGGGGCCGGCCGCCGCCGCGCCTGCCAGCTTGACAACCTGCAGGCAGAGAGGAGCGCGTGTGAGTGAGCAGGGCTCAGGCGTGTGCGTGTGTGTGTGTTGGTAGGAAGGCTGCACTTGCTTCCAAAGGCTGCACAGCATAGGAAAGCTCACAGCACAGAGAGCCAATGATCCAGGCCCTGCCACCCAGCCGCAGCAGCGCACCTGTGCCGCCGGGCCCGGCTTGGCCGCCGCGGCCGCGGCGGGCGCGGCGGCGGGCGCCGCCGACGGCGCCGCCGCGGCGGGCGGCAGGCCCAGCGCCGCCCGCATCTCATCGGGCATCTGCCAGCGGCTCTCCTTGGTGAGTCTGTTGTGGTAGTACTTTCTTCCATCAGGCGCCGTGTGCTCACGCCACGCGCTGGCCGCCGCAGAGGGCGCCGGCGCGGCGCCGCCGCCGGCCGCCGCCGCGCGCTCCTGCAGGCGCGGCACCAGCGACGGCATCAGCAGGCTACCTCGGTGCCGCCGCCGTAGCGCGCGTGCTGCGGCCGGGCCCACAGCGTCGGCGGAAGCGCAGCAGCAGCAGCAGCACAGCACAGCACAGCACAGCACAGCACAGCGCAGCACACCTGCGGCGTCTTCAGCTCCTCGGGCTTCTCCCAGCTGCTCTGCTTGGTGCGGTTGTTGTAATAGTACTTTCTTCCATCGGGCGCCGTGTGCTCCGTCCAGTCTGGCTTGGGCACGCCCGGCGCCGCCGCCGGAGGCCCGCCGGCAAAGCCGCCGGGGCGCGGCCCGCCCGGGAAGGCGCCGGGCGAGGGGCCGCCGCCATAGGGGCTGCCAGCGGGAGGCCCCGCCGCTGCGCGAGCCGGCGGCCCAGCAGCCGCGCGAGACGCGGCGAGGCGCGCGGCCGCAGCCGCGGCGGCTGCGCCTGGGGAGCCAGGAGCGGCGGCACCGGGGTGCTGCAGGGCAGGCAGGCAGGTAGTGCGTGGCACGCCTCAGCATGCATGCTTCTGCAGGATGGCATGCTGCCAATGCAACTGAATAAGCCAACACGCGCTTCCTCTCGAGGCCCTCCAACAGGAACACTGCCGCCTCCTGCTCTGCCGCTACTCACCGCCGCCGGCGCTACCGCCGCGGGTGCTCCTGGGGCTGCTGCGGCCACCGCGCCGCCTGCAGCAGCGCAAATGGGCAGAATCTGTGAAGACTGAGGCACGGGACAGCGGCGATTGCCGCCTGGCAGCGCACATGTTCAGGAGAGCCCGCCACCTCCCCCTACCTTGCCGCATCCAGGCCGGCAACACGGCATCCCTGCCGCGTCCCGCCATGGCTTGCTGCCTGCTGCTGCCGAGGTCTCTAGGTGAATGTCAGAGAGGGTGCAGGCATGCACGGGCCTGAATTCCGAGCGATCCGCGCTTCCTGGTCCGCTGTGCTTCTGCACAGTCCCCGATCACCCAGCCGCTTGGCATGGCGCTGTGCGGCGGCTTTCTTTTCGGGCTGCCGCCCTTCACTCACCCTCTGAGGACCCCATCGCATTCCGTTACAGTGCACGCATTTCTCGGGATAGTTTCGTGGGTGCCAAAAGATATTTGTGCCTGGAGTTGGCCCCACCCGATCACCTGCTCCTCGCTCAGTCTGCCCTGCGACCTGATTTTAGGCTGTATATCAGCTGCATGCATTATCAGTCCGTGTGATCACAGCAGCAGGTGACTAGGCCCGAGGATAAATGCCCAAAAGGTGAGCGGCGGCGACTGCAGGCGACGCTTCGGCTGCAAGGCCAGCCCAAGAAGCCTGCCTCGCAACCTCCGCCTGTGCTGTTTACTGCCTGTCGCCGCAGGAAGAATGCTGCCAAGCGGCAGCAAGCCGCAGCCGCAGCCGCGGACGCCACCCCTGCCGCGGGCACCGCCGCCGCGGCTGCCGGTGGTTCCACACCGGCGGCAGCAGAGGAGCCCCAGGCATCGCAGCGCCGACAAGCAGAGGCCGCGGAGGATGCCGCATCAGATGCGGAGCAGGAAGAGGCGGCAGCATCAGCATCAGCGGGGGCACGGCTGCAAGGCGCGGCAGTGGTGGCCGCCTTGCTGCTCCTTGTGTACAGCCACCATGCGGCGGTGCGGCTGCTGTCCCCACAGACGGGAGAGTGGCTTGCGGCCTCATTCTGCAGCCTGGCGCTCTTCGCTGTCGCCGCCGTGGCTGCTGTGGCGGGGCACACCACAGAACAGATGATGGCTGCGCTGCGCACCGTCGCGGCGCGGCAGGCCGGCGGCGGCAGTGCGAGCGGCGGCAGCGTGGCGGCTGCGGCCGGCTGGGCTGGCGCGGCCCTCGCGGCGCTGCTGCTGGCAGCGCGCTGGCGTGGAGGCTCGCTGATAGGCCTCGCTGGTAGCTGGCTGCTGGCCCCGGGGCTTGCAGACGACTCCACTCTGCGCATCAGCGATGCCGAGCTGACTCTGCGATGCATGGCGCTGGCGGCAGCCACCTGCGGCCCGCTCTTCGCCTCGCTGGCCTTTGCGGCGGGGGCAGGTGCCTGCGCCGCCACCCGGGCCGACCTCTCCTCCCGGCGCCGCCTGCTGCTGCTGCTGCTGCTGCTGACGGGCGCAGCGGGCGCGGCGATGGTGCGAGGCCTCCCGCCCGGGCTGGTGCCGCCTCGGCCCGCGGGCACGCTGCCCGCTGCCATTGCAGTGGCAGCGGCGGCAGTGACTGCGGCCCTCCTGCCCAGCGCCTTTCCAGACCCTCCTGAGGATCAGGCTGCTGCCGCTGGCGGTCCCCGGCAGCACAAGCACAAGGGGCGGTGCGCCGCTGGCACCAGCCAGCGCAGCCGCAGGCAGGCGGGGCTCAGTTGGCGGCACGGAGCTGCTGCCATGGCGGCGGTGGCGGCGGCAGCCGCGGGGCAGCTGGCGCTGGGCCGCCCCTGCGCGGCGCCCCGGGAGGTGGAGGGCGGGCGGTACCGCGTGCTGTGGCAGTGCGAAGCGGCAGCTGGCGGGCAGCTGGCGGTGATTGAGGGCACATAAAAAGAGAAGTACAGGCGACCCGGGGGGGGGGGGGGGGGAGGGTGCCTTCTCTGCTGGCCGGCAGCAGGCAAAGGCAGCAGGCAGGGCGGCAGGCAGTGCACGTGCCTTGGCCAGCACCAGCACTGCCGCTGCCGCCGGCGCTGACGTCGGTACCGCCTGCAATGCAGGTACCGCCTGCTGCGCATGGACCACAGCGTGCTGGGTGGCGAGTACATGGCGCCCGCTGACGTGGCGGGACAGACCAGTGAGTTTCGCCTGCGCAGCATTGATACGATTCAAGCGCTGGCAATCACCCTCGGGTGCTTCCTCGCCTCCCTCCCGACTGCGCTCGCTGCCTCGCTGCCTCGCCGCTTTCGGTCCCCACCACACCGCACCACCTCGCACGCGCAAGCCACACCTACCAGCCCCACCTGCCCCACCGCCTGCCCTGGCCCTGCAGTCTACACAGCCTTCTACCTGCAGCAGGCGGCAGTGCTGCTGCGCCCCAACGGCACCCGCTCGCTGCACGTCGGCCTGGGCGTGGGCACAGCCGTCAAGGGCATGCAGCGGCTGGGCGTGGCGGCAGGTGGGGGCCTGCTGCCGCGCCTGCTGCCACTCCTGGCGTTGCTGGCTGCTGCAGGCGATGCTGAGGTGTCGCTTCACGTGCCGGCATGCTCTGGCCAAGCACCAGGCGCGCTGCTGCCGGCCACACCTGACTTGCTGCTGAGGACGTTACCTACCCTCGTTCCTGCGACACGGTACCGGCGCAGATTCCATGGAGCTTCACCCCGAGGTCCTGCAAGCCGCCGCCAGCTTCTTTGCCCTGCGGCCCGGCCTGCACGGCGGGCGGGCGCTGGTGGGGGATGCTGCGCAGCTGGTGCCGCGGCTGCGCCTGGAGGGAGGCGCGGGTCGGTACGACTACATCCTCCACGACGTGTTCAGGTGACGACCTTCCCCTCTGTTCCACCTTTCCTGCCTTCCCACCTTTCCTTTCTTGCCGGCTGCCACACGGGAGCACCAGGTGGATGGCAGCATCGCTGCCGCCCAGCTCCGCCCAGCTTCCCCATCCCCCGCTGCCCTTCCTGCTTCACGACCCCCCTTCCTGCTTCACGACCGCCCCTGCCCCTGCCCCTGCCCTGCCCGCAGCGGCGGCGGCGCGGCGGGCGCGCTGATGGTGCCCCCCTTCTACCGCCAGCTCAGCCGCCTGCTGGCGCCAGGTGGCGTGGCCGCCGTCAACTTCTACGGCGGCAAGGGGCAGGGCCTCAAGCAGGCCTGGTGCCGCCTGCGCCTGGTCTTCGACTCAGGTGGGGCCTCGGGGTGGGTGGTGAGCGAGTGTGGTGGTGTACGAATGCCCCTCTTAGAGAGGGGCAGCATGCGCAGCACAGCACAGCACATCCTGCCGCAGTCTGCAGCAGGCTGCAGCTCTGGCCGCGGGCTCACGTGACCTGCCGCAGCTGGGCGGGCCGGAGCCGGCCGCCCTTGCGCTGCGGGCAGCCTCACCTCTGGCTTCAGACCCTGCGCCCAGCATACTTGCCGCTGCCGCTGCCGCCGCACCCCCCCCTTCCCGCGGCCGCAGTGCGCGCTTTCTCAGATGTGGAGCGGGCACGTGTGCGCAACCACGTGTTGTTTGCCTCGCGCGCCGACTTGGGCGCCGTCAACCTGACCTGGGCGGTACAGGCGGTACAACAGGCGGCACAACAGGCGGCGGGCGACAGCGGGGCGGCAGAGGCGGTGGACCCGCTGCAGCTGCGGGTGTGGGCTGCCCTGCCTGGCCAGGAAGTGAAGCTGATGTATGACCGACAGCGGTGCCAGCAGATGCTGGCCTGGCACGACGGGCTGCCAGCAGGGCGGCCCGGCGGCGGCGGCAGCCAGCCACGGGGCCAGCCGCGCGGCCAGCCGCGCGGCCAGCCGCCGCGGCTGTGGCGGGCGGCCAAGGAGGCCCGGGAGCGGCACGCCCTGGCCACCGCACACTGGGTGGTGGCGCGCACCCAGTTTGCAGACTCGCTCTGGCTGTCGTGAGGCGGCGGCTGGCAACAGCTGAGGCGGCAACTGGCAACAGCTGGACACAGGCCGCCCATGCTTGTGCTTGCGCCACCCGCCGAGGCTCTGAGTGTGCCTTGTTACAATCAATGTGATTGCAATGGCAAACAGCAAAAGGTACTAGGGTGTAGAAAAAACTGCGGTTGGCTTATTCAGGTCAACAGGCCGGCCTGTGGGCAGGCACGGCACGCCAGGCGAAGAGGTGGATGGAGGTGCAGGGGGAGGGGGTAGGGACAAGATCGGCAGCAATCGGGGCTCAGGGGGTTGTCACGGTACGTCACGGGTCGTCGGCAGGTGGGCGAGGGGCAGGCAGCGGGGGCCATCCAGGCCCGTGGCTGGCTGCGAGCCGGCCCCGGTGCCGGGTCTGCGCGTGCTCAGCGGCGGGCAGGCGCGGGCGCGCCCGCCACGACGGCGCCCTCGGAGGCCGGGGCGGGCGAGGGCGCCCCGGCGCCGCCACCGGAGTGCACCACCGCGCAAGTGGCCAGAAACTCAGAGCCCATGATGCCCACGGGCTCGGGATCTGCGTTGAAGGCGCCGGTCAGCTCGGACAGGCACTGCTCGCTGAGCTGCACAGGGCAAGCACGGGTGTTCGTGTGAGCATGCGCGCTTGTGTGTGCAGGCGAGCGTGTGTGTGTGCACGCGAGCGTCGGGCTGCTATGCGTGGCGCAGGCGCTGTGCCTTGCTCCGCCCCAGCCCCAGATCCAGCCCCAGGCACAGCCCCAGGCACAGCCCCAGGCACAGCCCCAGGCACAGCCCCAGGCACAGCCCCAGGCACAGCCCCAGGCACAGCCCCAGGCGCCCACTCACGGTGTAGAAGGTCGCCGCGCAGGCCGGCTCGCAGTCGACGACGATGTCGGTGGCGCCGCTTTCCAGCTGCTCCAGGCCTGCCAGCACGCTGGGGCACAGGTCGAGGTCGAAAGTACCCCCCGTGACAGAGGCGTCGGTCAGGCAGGTGACGGTGCCCAGGGCCTGCGGGCGAGCAAGGGGGAGAGCAGGTCGGTATGGCGGCGTGCAAGGCGGGCGGCGGGAGCGGCGGCGGTGGCAGGGAAGGCTCCTACGCCGCTTGCACGCCCACAGTACCCCTTTCGAGCGCTTCGTTCACGCCTAATTTGCGCAGGGAGCGCGCCTGATGGGGATCAGGGAGGCAGCAGCAGGTTGCATGCCGGGCTGACTGCCAATGTGCGTCTCAACTCGCCTTCTTGAGGAAAGGAGCATATTTCGGGTCGGTGAGGAAGGATTGCAGGTCCACAGCAGAGGCGGAGCCCAGAACCGCCAGCAGGCAGAGGAGAGCGAGAGAGCGCGCCATGTTGAGCCCAACCCCAAGTGGAACTGCGCCCACAGACAGTCGAGAGGGTGTAAGAGGGCAGTGGGTCGCAGATGACGCAACCGCAGCGTGCCCCGCTGCTCAGGACTTCGGAAGCCAAATCTGTCCGTGCTTTGAGTGCTGCGCTCAAAGGCGTCCGCGGCCCGATTACGTTTGGGTTTGTGTTCCAACACTATTTAGCCCACAGCCACAATTGTGGGGTGTTCTGCCGCTGTCGATTCGCTACCCAGAGCCTGCCGCCTTGCCTCACGCCGGCACCAGCCCCGCAACCCAGCGCCTTACCAACCCTGAGCTCTCCACTACCAAACGCCTAAGAACTTCCACAAACATCCATTTCAGGTGCGTGAGCTGCCGCCGACGTCCTTCGCCCCTTTGGCGGCCGCTTTTCGGCACCCTGTCGGAGCGTCTGCAGCCCTCCCGGCGCCGCGGGAGGCAGCCCACAAACGCGGCGGCGGCTTGTGTTTGACAAGCGCAAGGTAGCGGCGGGTTTGGCGGCTCGGCCAGCCCCAGCTCCCGCCGCCGCCTGCAAGGCCGCCACCTGGCGGCCGGCTGCGCACATTCCTAGCCCTGCTCGCCGCCGTATTGCAGGAGTCTTGCATCGCCGCCCCAGACCCCAAACACAACCGCGATGTCGGTCCCCCTGAAGCAGCGCGTGCGCCAGGACTGGCACAAGATCGCCTTTGCCGGCTCCTTCTTCGTGGCGGCCTGTGCCACCATCACCGTCTGCGGCGGCCTGGCCGCCCTCACCAACTACTGCCTGGTCAACCAACCACTGGGCCTGGGCGCCGGCTTCGACCTGAACCCGGTGAGCTGGGCCGTGTGGATGTGGACGGCAGTCGTGTGCGGGCGGGCCAGCGGCACAGCCGCGGCCGCGTGCCGCGCCTCAACCCTTGAATCGCCTCCTGCCCTTCTCCCTGCCATCCCTCACCCTGCCGTCCCTCACCCAGCCAGCCAGCCACCCACACCCAGCACATGCCTCCTCACCCGCCTGCCTGCCCTCCCACCTGCCTGTGCCCGCCACCCCCACTCCCCGTACCTGCCTGCAGCCCATGACCGTCTTTTCCACAGAGGTGATGAGAATCCAGCGGGCCATCGTATCCACAGACACAGGCGCCTTCGACTGCGGCCGCTTCTTCCGGTTCGACTGGACGCTGTGGGCGCTGCAGGTGGGCGGGTGGAGGCGTGGGTGGGCCCGCGGGGTGCTCAGGGCTGCTCCGCTCTGGCGTTTCTGTCGGCCGCTGGGCCATCTCTGGCCGAGCTCTTGCGCAGTCTGCCTCTGGCTTGCGCTTGCGCGCACTCAGCCGACCCGACCCGACCCGACCCCGACCCCTTGTGCCTGGCGCAGGTGGTGTTCCTGCTCATCGTGGGCATCAGCTGGTACCGCGGTACCATCCACCGCTACCAGGTGTGTGCAATGCGCGCATGTGCGTGTGTGTGTGTGTGCATGCGGGCTTGTGTGCGCCATGCCGCGATCAGCTGCCGCCGCCTGCCCACCCCTCCACCGCTGCCCCACCCCTGCCCCGCCCGCGCACCCCGCCGCGACTGAGCCCTCTCCCGCTGCCCCTTTGCGCCGCCTGCTCTTCCTCTTCCGCAGGCGGGCCACTGGGCGCTGGGCGCCGCCGTGACTGCCTGGCACATGTACAAGATCAATTACATCATGGACATGGACTACTGGACCACGGGTACGTTTTGTGTGTGTGTGTGTGTGTGTGCATGTTTTCGTGTGTGACATTGAGGGTGTGGGTTTGGAAAGGGCCTGTGCACGGCGCGCATGTGCGGGCGTGTGGCAAGCCCCTCAGCCAGGCGCCCGCCCTGCCCAACCCCATCCCACCCCTCCCCACCTCGCCCCCCGGCTGCCCCCCCGCCCCCTGCCGCAGGCCAGCTGCACACCAACGGCATCATCACCGCCGGCGGCCTGCTCTTCTGCTGCATCGGCAACTACTGCATGTTCTTTGCGGGCGGGCCGTACGCCGAGTATGAGCGCTCGCGCCTCAACAACATGAGCGGCGTGGACATGGCCCAGCCCAGCGCCGCAGCCCTCAAGGCGGGCAGCTTCTCGGGCACCAGCGAGGAGGTGTGAGGCGCTCTGACCGGCCGCAGGCACAGGCGCGCAACACCGGCCTGTGGCGGCGGGCTGGCACAGGCGCGGCCTCCCATGCAGAGGCGCAGCCTGGTGCCGGGGCAGCCGTGTGCGGGCGCCTGCACTGCATTAGGCAGGGGCCAGTCCCCTTTTCAATCCCAACCCCAAACCCAACAGACTGAAAGCAAAGTTTTTGGCTTGGCTGGGTGCCAGCTATCCTGCACCAGCTGTCCCCCCATTTCTCCCTTTTTTTCCGGAGCGCTGCGGGGACCCATTTTTTCAGCCGTCTCTCCCTTCGTCTGCTAAACCCCAATGGAACGGCATCGTGTGCCAATAGTGCCAATAGTGTGCCGAGCGCTGTGTTGCACGCCCTTCAATAATCTCCTTTTCCAATTCAGCCCAAGCTAAGCGGACATGCCGAACCGCTGCGCTGGCCCTTCTCCAATCATTGAAGTGTCCCCTTGCCCCCCGCTACTACCACTTGGCAAGCATCCTCAACAGTACCTGCTTTCCCAATCAGTACTACCTGCCTTGCTCCTTGCTGCTGCTGTCGGCGGGACAGTTGATGGCACCTCCAGTTGTAAGCGCTCACATGGCAGCGGATGGAGTACAATCCACCGTGGTGCGGCAGAGGGAGGGAGAGGGGCAGTCGATCAAAGGGAGTGTCTAATGGGTACAGCAGGGGCAAAGCCAACAGCAATAAGCACGGAGGGAGAAGAATAGGCCTGGCAGGCAGTGAGGCGGGTCGGTCTGTCAAGTCATGGAGGTGAGTGTCATGCGACGCCGGCTGGGAGCTGGCTGGAATGGTGGGCTCTAGCCGGCTAAAATCGGACCAGAGCCATCTGCAGCAGCGAGGCAAGGGGCAGCTGCCACGCCCAGGGCCTGCCTCCGCATGTGGGCAGCCGCCGCTTGACGCCATCAGGCCACCACACCGCAGGTGTAATCTCCCCCGGCGCTCAACACAGAAAAGCGGATGTCGGTTGCTACTGGTACTGCAGCGGTACTGTTGGCCACCTCATACGGCGGTACCCCCAGCTGCCCCTCGTTGTTCAGCCCTGCGGAGCAGTAGCAGCACACGTGCCCGGTCGGGGGTGTGCATGGCAGCAGCGGCTGGACGCTGCGGCAGCTCAGCACGGCTGGGCGTGGCTGCCTCGCAGCGGCGCGCAGCATGGGAGGCAGCAGCAGCAGCAGCGTGAGCAGCAGCAGGCGCACCCCAGCACAGCGCGGCGCCTTCCAGCGTCAAGCCACAAGCATGGAAGTAAAAGCCCGAGCCGCCGACGGTGATGGTTGTGAAGCTTGCCGGCGAGGGGACTGGGGTGGGCTGCTCCGAAAACACTGTCTCGGGGTAGCCCTGCGCATCAATGTAGCTGCCCACCACGCCTGCAGGGCAGAGCGGCCGGGCACAGGTCAGATCAACACAGCCAGCACAGCACAGCGCAGCACAGCACAGCGTGTGGCCATGGTGGACAAGCGTGCACACCGCGGCGACCGCGGCCCGCCGGCCGCTGTCGAGCATGCCGCCGCCCTGGCCGCTCGGCCGGTCGCCCAGCCACCCTCGCCGCGCGGGCGCAGCGGGCGCTAGCTGCTTTAAACACTGCTGCCGTGGGGGCGCCTCACCTGCACACCCGGCCTGCCCCTGCAGGGTGACGCCGCACATGGAGCTGCCGCGGGCCGCCAGCGAGGCGATCTGGTCGGCGCCCACAATCCGCGGCTGCGGCGGCAGCAGCTCCGACTGGCTGGCATCCGTGTAGCCCCCCCAGCACGCCACAGAGGCGTTGATGAGCGTGCCGCAGGAGACGGTGTCGGCGGCGGCCAGCGAGACGAATGCCAGGGAGGGGTCGGCGATGGCGATGGGGGTGAGGGAGGTGGCCACGTCAGCGCTATCCACCCCCAGCTGGTTGGCGGAGTTGGAGCCTGCGGTGGGGTGGAGGGGGAGAGAGAGAGAGTGTGCGTTAGAGAAAGGAGTGTGTTCCTGTGGTGCGTGCGTCTGTGTGTCAGTGAGTGTAGCCAGCGGAGCAGGCGGGGGGGATCTACGGGTGGAAGGGGAAGGGGCACGCCTGGCACCAGCAGGCACCAGCTGGGGCCAGGCGGCCCCTGCAAAGCGGCTGTGCACACCCCGTTCCTCTCCGTTGCCACCCGTCAGCAGGGGCCCCAAGCCCTCCACACATGCCGCCCCACACACCATCGCCCCAGCCCGCACCCACCCCAGCAGGCTGCGGAGCCGTTGAAGAGCACGCCGCACACATGGTCGGACCCAGCCACCAGCTCGACAAACTGGAGACCGCCGCCCACCACCAGCGGCGTGGGGCGCGCCTCACTGCCGCCCGGCCCGCTCCACAGCTGGCAGTCGCCCATGCGGCCTGCGGTGCGGCGGCGGGGCAGCAGGCAGCGGGTGCCTGGGGAAGCCATACGCAGCACAGCATCGCTGCACCGCTGCGCACACACATCGTCGCCGCCACTGGAGCCGCCACCCGCCGCGCCCACCCACCGAAGCATGCCGCCGAGAAGTTGGCCAGCAGGCCGCAGGCAAAGGTGGCTCCTGTGGCCAGCTTTGTGAAGGGGCCCTCAAAGGGCAGCTCAGTGGGCGGCAGGTAATTGGGGTCATCAGGAAGCATGGGGGTGGTGCTGCCTGCAGCGGGGCAGGCGGCAAGGGAGGGGATTGGGCGGCCGGTTCACCTAGCGACAGCCAACACGGGTGCGGTGCTGCCCTCGGTTCAATGCCTTCTCAGAGGAGAGGCCTGGGAGAGGAGCGCCGCAGGCGGGGCCTGGGGAGAGCCAGCAGCTGCACCCACCAAAGCAGGCGATGGTGCCGCGGCTGGTCAGCCCGCACACGTAGTTGTCCTCAGCGCTGATGGTGGAGAACACAAGGGAGGACCCAAGAGGCGTGGGCACTGATGCATTAGCCACTACTGCCGCCGCCGTCGCTGCGTCGCTGCTGCCGTCATCTTCGGGGTATGAGGCGCTGGGGGCGGGGGCCAAGCCGCCGTAGCCGTCGTCGGCGGTGGAGGCGGCGAGGGCGGCGGCGGGTTGTTCGGCGGGCGCGGGGCCCCAAGCGTGGCGGCTGCCCCAGCATGCCACGGCCCCGGGGGTTGCCAGACGCTGCACGCAGGCCGTGTCCCCGGGGGCGCACAGCTCGACTGGCTCGGCGGGCGCAGGCTGAGGGGCGGGCACGAGCGGGCTGGCGCCGGCTGCCGCTACCACCGCGGCGGGGGCTGGCATCGCCGGCGGCGCAGCTGGGCCGGCCTCCTGGCCGGCTGCTGCAGCGGCATGGGGGCCCCATAGGGCCGACAGGCAGTTTGATCAGCAGGGGAGGCCCAGCTGGGGTGGGGCGTCAGGTGGTGCGGCGCGCCAGACGGCGGCAGCTGGCGGTGGCGGCGGGCAAAGGCGCGCACCGCAGCACGAGGCCAGCACCAGCGCCAGCGAGAGGACAGCTAGCCGCGGTGGTCTGCTTCGAAACATGGCGCGTGGGCAGACTGGCGCGGTCTCAAAATCAAAAATGAAGCCACATGACCTGGGGGGCCTGCCGCCGCTGTAAATGAGCAAGCAAGATCTCAGAGCACTGCACACTGCGCTCAACGCATTGTTTCGATAGGATGCAGCTGCCGCCCATCAGCTCCACGTCACTGGGCGCCAAAACACATAATTTTCTGAGAAAACACCCAAGACGCCCCTGGTGATAGATTATTATGCTGCGACTTACTGTATAACAACGTTTTAGCGTAAAAAGTCAATCCGGTATCTCGCCCCGGGGCGTAACGTCAGGTGCAGCGTACCTGTACGTAGAGACACGCAGCTTGCGGCAGTTTGTTGTGGAGCCAAACGCCTTTCAGCGTGTCAATTGTGAATAGGCTCTGTCGGGTGACACAGAGCCGCCGAGCGTGCTCTGTGTCCCTCGCAATCCACCATTGTGTCCAAACTTGGCCCGGACAGCTCTCCAAACTCGCACATCAGCAGTCACAGCCGTCAGGAAGCGGCGGCGGGCGTGCCAGGGGGAGGTCCGCCTGCAGGCACCGCATCCTCGTCAGTGTCCCGTCCTGAGCACAACTCGCAACCGAAGCAGCTGTGCGAATGTCGGCTGCCAGTGGCCCCAACCTCCCGCAGATGAGTTCAGCGGGCGCCAGCAGCCCAGCCTGCGTCAGCGGCGGGGAACCCAGCGCAGGTGGCGGCATCTCTCGCGCCGCCCACTCCCACCGAGCCTGCCGCGCGCCTGGATGCCCCGGGGTTCTGCTCCCGGGCTTTCAGATGGTGAGGGGCCGACGGGGTGGATGGGCAGCTGAGAAATCCCGCACGCTGCATGCAACACCCTGTTGCCGTCACACCTGCCTGCCGGCTGCCGCACCCTGCTGCACCTGCCGCCTTGTACCGCTGCCATCCACCCCTGCCCATCTGCCTGCTCTGCCACGCCTATGAGGAGCCAAAACTTGACACCTCCTGCACACCTGAGCTGCAGAAATACCGGATCTGCGGCGGCTGCCTCACTGCTCCCCGCCTCGTCATCGACAGCCAGACCTGCCGCTTCTGCCAACAGGCGAGCACAGCACAGGCAAACGTGCATCCTGCTGCTGTGCATCCTGCTGCTGCCGCCCGCCGAGTCGCTGGCTGCCCATTTGCCTCGCCGAATGGACCGTGGAACCCACCAGCCACGATGCCTGCCCCCGCCTGCTGCCTCCAGTGCGCCCATTTCCACCCTGTGGACGCTTTCGACGAGGGCCGACGCAGCTGCCGGCACAGCCTGGAGCGGCACAGGCAGCGGCGCAGGGAACTGCTGCTGCGCCGGCAGAAGGAGCAGCAGCAGGCGGAGAAGGAGCAGCAGGAGGAGCCGCAGCAGCGGGTGGCGCCGAAGGAGCAGCGTCCCAGCAAAGTGGGGCAAACCAGGCAGCATCACAAGCCCGCAGCGCAGCAGCAGCAGGCGCCCGCTCCAGCCAGCCAGAAGCGGCAGCGTGCGCGGCAGCCAGCAAAGAGGCCGGTGAAGCGCGGCCGGGGGGGGGCAGTGCAGGCCGCAGCCCCGGCAGGGAACCCCCCAGCCCCCCCATCAGCAGACGAGTCTGAGTCACGCAGCTCGGACACCGAGCAGGCGTCCCAGCACCGGCAGCTGTGCTGCCAGGCCCAGCTGCCACTGGCCGTCCCTGGAGAGACTGCGGCGCCCGCCCCACAGCCCAATCCCCACCAGCCATCCCTTGGCCCAGCTGCAGCTGTGGGTTTGCCGCCGCTGCCGCTGGTGCCGGCTGGGGCGCCTGTGCTGCCAGAGGGAGGCGCTGCCGTGCTCAGCTTGCCAGCCTCGGCAGCGGCGCCGCCGGAAGCCGCCCGGCAGCTGCACATGGTTGAAGCGCCCCATGCCCTGGCAGGACCAGAGCTGGGCTGTTGCCGCCGCCTGGAGCCGGACACGCCGTCGCAGCTGGAGGCACCAGGGGAGCCACCACCCCAACTTGCTGCCACGTCGTCTGCAGCAGCAGCGGCGACGGCGGCGGCGACGATCTCGCAGGCGGCCTCGCTCCCGGCTGCGGCCTGCCTCGCCCCGCCTGCTGCTGCGCCGCTGGCAGTGCCCCCCCGCGGGCTGTCAGGGCAGGCGCCCGGCAGCTGGCAGCTGGCCGCCGCCTGCGACTTCTGGAGCCCGGCGCCGCTGCCGCCGCCGCCGCCGCTGCCGCAGCCAGGGCTGCACTTGGCCTGGGCCGCGCAGGGCGCCGTTCAGACCCACCACCTTCACAGCCCCACGGTGAGAGTCCAGCTGACATCCTCTGTGTGCAATGCAGGCAGCCTGCATAAAAAATCAGTGCACATGTAGTGCTGTTGGTGCCCGTCAGGGGCAGCGGGTCGGTGCGTTTGTCACGCCCATGCTGAGTCCCAATGCCGAGTTGGCTGCCTGCATTGGCCTGTGTTGCCCTGTAGGCCGCCTCAACCGATGTGCCCAGCACAGCAGACATCTTTGGTGCTGAATCCGGGCTGGGCCTGCTTGATGATCCCTGCACCTGCCCACCAGGTGCTGCCCAGTGGCATGCCCACGCCGACGCAGCGCTGTGGCGGGTGCCGCCGCTGCTGGCAGCAGCGCTGCCGCCAGTGCCGCCAGGACTGCCAGGGTCTGGGGCGGGCCCTGCCCCCCTTGCAGCCAGCTGGCAGTGGAGTGCTGCATAGCCCGGCCGCTGCATGTTTTCCTGTCGTGCATAATCCCGCCAACAAGCTGGCCCGCCCGCCTCGCAAGCTCTCGAGGAGCCATGCGCATCATCCGGCGGGCCACGCCTCACCTTGCATCATTGTTCTGCAGCCTGCGCTGCCCTTGCCTACCCCTGTTGCCCTGTCCTCCTCGCAATTGCTCGCTCCTTGAATGTTTCACCACTTCATAAATGATCGTTCGGATCACTGCAGTGTTTGCGCTGCGTTTTTCCGACCCAAGCGCCTGTGCCGCCACCCCTGGTGGGCCTCGTTGTGAGGGGCACACCTGCTGCCAGCACAGTGTGGCTAAACACCATTGCCCAAATTTTGTTGCTTCTTCTGATTTGAACCTAACCCAACATTCTTTATGAACAGGTTGCATATATTTCTGGCACGTCAGACGTTAGCCTGATGCTACGCGCACGTGCCGCGGACTCCTGAGCTCGGAGCTCAGCCCGAGGCTCCCACCCTTGATTAGGGCACACGAGGCGGCTATTGTAAAGCTGAAGCTCCAGGCAGAGCTAAAGTACTCCATTTGCCAAAGGAGCAGCTCTTGCTTGCTTGTGTGGGCTTACAGTCTGGTTTCAGCAAGAACAAGCTTGCAGCACAGACTTTGTTGTTCGAGCAAGGAGGGATGAAGCAGTAGAACTTGTGTGAGACACCACCTTCTCCCGGCGGCTGCTCCCGCCGCTGGCGCCGTCAGTGCCGCCCGGCGGCGACACCGCGGCCGCCGCCGCCAGGGTAGCGAGTATCCTGCCCGAACATGGGGTGTTGGGATCGATGGGCGTTGAAAGCGGTGTGTGAACCCTAGAAAACCCAGATGATGGCTCTCCACTTTGACGAATTCTCCTCGCAGGCCCGGTTTCCCAGGGCAGCTGGCCGGCAGCTAAAACAGACAACGAGAGGAGGGGCCAGTGTTCGTGTGCCGCCATCGTGGAGTATATTCCTGCGTAAAGCTCAGCGACAGCCACACCACAAAACTTCTGCAAGGCCAGGGCCGCCCAGCACCGAAGGGGAGGACGGAAGACAAGGGCGAGCGCCCTCATAGCCTCACTCTTCCCTCGCTGGAGCCCTGTTGTTGACTTTGCCATCCCACGGATCGTCTTCAGCAGGCTTGGGGCCGTGGGCCGCGGGCTTGGACGCAATTCCCTGCAAGTACCACAGGAGGTGAGCGCGAGAGAGCACCAGCTTGCACGCCAGGTGCCCCGCAAGGCGCGCCGAGCTTGGCCGCAGCGCTGGTGTGGAGGGCGCGGCCCTGGTGGCTCGGCCATATGGCGACCCCGTCGGGACATGCGCCGCTGACCGCCGCCTTATCACGCTCCAAACCCAGGCCTCTTTCGCTCCTTGTGCGCCCCCTGCTGCAGCCCAGGCATCACCTGTAGCATGAAAGCCGAGGCAAGCACCGCCAGCGGCGGCAGCAGCGAAACCGGCGTGGACGACGGCAGCAGCGCGGGCGCCACTGGCCAGCCGCTAGGCGCCCTCGACCGCTTCTCCTGCCGGGTGCCGGGCTGCAGCCGGGAGCTTAAAGTCGGCTTCCTCCAGGTGAGCCGGGAGCCCAGCTGGCAGGCAGGGGCAGCGCGGGCAGGGTCGGTCCAGGGCCAAGCCAGAGCGGGACACGGCGGGACACGGTCGATGCTGTGTCCCTTCAGGGGTCAACCGTCCCTCTGCAGCAGCGCCGTAGCGCAGCCAACTCCCCCGCCCATCCTGCCGCTGGCCGCCTGCCTGCCCCCGCCTGCTGCAGAGGTGCCGGTGCTGCGAGTTTCACTCCAGGGAGCCCCAGCTAGAGCTGCACGGAGTGACCAGCCGCTTCTGCCAGCAGGTGAGGACAGCTTTCCGCCACCGTGCTCGTCTGCTTCTTCTGCCGGCCGCTGCTTCTCAGCGTGCCCCGCCCTGCCCTGCCCCGCCCCGCCCTGCCCTGCCCTCACCCCGCCCTCCTGTACACCCTGCCCTGTGCAGTGCGGTTTCTTCCATGCGCTAGAGGAGTTCGATGCGCAGCGGCGCAGCTGCCGGCGCAGCCTGGAGCGGCACCGCGTGTGCCGCCGGCTGCGCCGCCAGCGGGCGGCGGAGCAGAAGGCGCGCGAGGCGGCGGCGGGCACGGTGGGCGATGCAGCCTGCCAGGCGGAGGGCGAGGACCAGAGCGGGGAGTCGCTGCCCACCCCGCAGCTGGAGGAGGAAGTGCCGGCTGCCGCCAAGGGCCGCTCCAAGCGCAGCCGGCGCAAGGGGCCGGCGGTGGTGGCGGCGGCGGTGGCTGCGGCTCAGCGGGCGGCTGCCCAGGACCAGCCCCAGGCCCAGCCCCGCCGCCACTCCCCGCAGCTGTCGGCTGGGGCTGAAGACAGCACGATGCAGGTGCCGCAGGTGCAGGCAGAGCCGGCGCAGCAGCAGCAGGGGTCGGGCAGCCAGCGCGGCTCCCGCAAGCGCTGGTCGGCGGCACTGGCTGCCTCGCCTGCAGCCTCGCCGCCAGACGTCGCCACCCTGCCGCTGCTGGCCCCACCCTGCGCCCTGCCCTCCGAGACCCCCTCCGTCGCCACCGTGGATGGACCAGAGGCGGAGGAGGCCTGGCAGCTGGGCTGCGGCCAGGCCGCCGCCGCAGCTGCCGCGGCGGCGGCACAGCTGGGGCCAGATGCAGCCCTGCCGCCGCCGCACTGGGCCGCCCGCGCGCTCGCGGCGGCGGACGTGGCGCAGCAGGCAGCCCCGGCGGCGGCGCAGCCCTGCCTGCCGCCGCCGGCGCCCGGCGCCCGCCTGCCGGCCCTGCTCTTCTCCGATCCGTGGGTGACGTGCGCCCTGCCGCCGCCGCCGCCGCTGCCGCTGGTGGAGGAGGCGATGGCGATTCTGCGAGCGCCCACGGTGAGCCTGGTTGGGGGCAGTCAGCGGTACAGTCAGCGGTACAGTCAGCGGTACAGCCAGCAGTACAGCCAGCTGCGCTTGTGGAGGCCCGCGGGCTGCCTGCCCCCGGCGCAGGCGCAGATGCACACCACACACACGCGCCTGACCCTCGCCCCGCCCCGGCCCCCTGCCCCCGTGCCTGCGCAGCCCGTGTTCAACGATGTGCCCTCTCATGCGGAGATGCTGGAGATTAACGCAGAGCTGGGGCTGCTGGACATCATCGGCCACCCGCCCCACCCCGGCCACTCCGCCACTGGCGCCACCCCCGCCTGGCTGCGCCTGCACTGGGCGCTGCAGCAGCAGCAGCAGGAGCGGGAGCAGCGTGCCGTGTGGCTCACTGCCCAGCAGCATTGAGGGGCCGTACCCTTGCACCAAGGGGCTGGCTGGCTCCCCTCAGATAGCCCGCAGCCCTGATGGCCCGCGCCTCCCCCCAGGTGGCCACTCCGGCCAGCCCGGCCGGCGCAACACAAGCTCCAGAGCGGCTGGGTGGCGGGCATGGCCCACCCCGCCAGCTGCTGCTGCCTCACCATGCCTCGCTCGTTCTTTGCCAAGTAACGGGCTCAACACATCTCTCCGTTGTCATACTGCGGCTGTGCTGCTCAAGATTGTGTGTGCGATGCCGGAGGGCGCACGTGCTGCCCCACCGTGACGCCGAGCCCCCTGCCGCTCACAATCGTGCGCCAAGCACAAGCACCCGCCGCTTGCTTGCTTGTTGCTTGTGTGGGCTTAAAGTCTGGTAAAGCAAGAACTAGCTTGCAACATAGACTCCCCGCCGAAACGGGACGGGAACCGGGCGAAAGCAGAGAAAGCAATAAAACAGGGGTGGAGCAAGGCGACATGCAACGCAAGCAGCTGACAGGGCACGCATCGAAACGTGTGTATGACTGGCAAAGTGGCATGGCGCATTGGGGAGAAACGCAACGGTACGGGAGCATGGGCTGATTAGGGTTTAGGGTTTAGGGTTATTTAGGGTTTTCCCCTAAACCCTTAAAAACCCTAAACCGCTGTCTTTTCCAGCCCTCCATTCACCGTCTTTTCCAGAATCCAGACCATCAGTGTACTTCTCGGGCCTCACCCACTGCTCTTCTCTCGGCGCCCGCGCCAGCAATCAGCCACTGCCAGCGCGGCTCGACTTGCTGCCTGGCGCGCACGTGCGCGCGCGCCCTCCCCCCCGCGCACCCGCAACGTGTTGATTTATCTGCCCTCTCTCCTTTCATCCCGCCACTTGTTCAACATTGTTGTGGCAGCCTATGCTGCCAGCCCCCATCCTTCAAAGTTGTTAACTCCGCTGTCAGTGACATCTCAGATCGCTCTCCTGCCGATCCCTCCATCACAGTGATGGGCGACCCCGAGTCACCTGCCTTATGTTGCCATTCATTCCTGCATCCCGCTCTTCTCCCAATGTGCTACGCTTCCTGCACTGGTTTGCCCTCCAATCAAATTGGTTGCTGCACCGTGGTCAACCACAGTGCTCAGAAACGAACGACACCCCTTGTGACCTCTTCTCTCACTGCCTCGCCTTGCGCTTGTCAAGATCAGCTGCATGCCGCAAGTTGGCATCCAGCAATGTTGCACTGCCGCATCGCCCGATCCACCTACCACATTAAACGTGTACCCTGTGCTCCTTCATGTGTGTGTGCAAAATCATGATTGTACTCGCTGCTGTGTGAGTGTAATGCAATGCAACAAACCGTCCAGCGCAGCAGCCGTGCAGGGCCGGCCCTGCGAGGGCTGGAGGCTTGTGTGGGCTTAAAGTCTGGTAAAGCAAGAACTAGCTTGCAACATAGACTCCCCGCCGAAACGGGACGGGAACCGGGCGAAAGCAGAGAAAGCAATAAAACAGGGGTGGAGCAAGGCGACATGCAACGCAAGCAGCTGACAGGGCACGCATCGAAACGTGTGTATGACTGGCAAAGTGGCATGGCGCATTGGGGAGAAACGCAACGGTACGGGAGCATGGGCTGGCCAAACGGCAGTGCGGAACGCTAGGTCACTAGAAAAGCAGGGAAAAGCGCACTATGTATGCAATGAGGGCACCCCCGGCTCGGGGCCGTTGAGAAAGCAGTGGGCGGGAGGGGGGAGGCCCCGGTGTGGGCGGGCCCCATCGAGGGGGGATGGGGCGCGCAAGCGGCCAGATGGGGCGGGGCGCGGGCGGCAGTAGAGTCCTGCGGCTGGGTGGGATATAGGGCAATGAGCGTTGAGCAGTGTGCGATGAGCAATGAGCAATGAGCAGTGAGCAGCCCCTCCCTAAACAAAGTGAAGCGCAGGACGGGGTCCGGTGGATGGGAGGCAAGGAAACGCGGGGGGTTGCCACGTGCGCTACCGCCGCCGCCGCAGGCAGCACCCCTGCGGCGGCGGCAGCGGCAGCAAGCCGTGGACCCAAACGCCGTGCCTCCGCCGCCGCAGGCAGCACCCCTGCGACGGCGGCGGCAGCAAGCCGTGGACAGAAACGCCGTGCCGCCGAGTCCCGTGGCTGTGGCCATGGGCTTCTGGCAGGAAACTACGGCCGCAGCTCGGCAGCACGGGGGCGTCGCAGCGTGCCGCCGCCGCCGCCGCGCTGCCCCCCCGGGGCACGGCGGCGGCGGCAGCAAGCTTGGGCCCAAACGCCGTGCCGCCGAGTCCCGTGGCTGCGACCGTAGACCGTGGGCCGGAAACTGCGGCCGCAGCTCGGCGGCACGTGGTTCTGTTCAAATCGCCAAGCGTGCAGCAGCGCCGAACCACGCTTCCCGGCCTCGGCGCATGCCTTCAGGGGCCCCCTATCGCTGGGCACACCCCTCCAACACCGAACATGCGCCCGGGGGGGAGGGCGGCCCGGGCTGCCCAGGCCAAAGTGGGCCGCCCTCGAGCAAGAGGCGGCCAGTCTGTGTGCTGAATGAATGAATGAAATGGTGATGGTGATGTGGAGGTACGGGCAGGGGCTGCTAATCGACTTTATGTCGGTTACTGATGAACTAGTGGAGGCTATACCTTGAAGCGTGATCTCAGCTCAAATTCACAGATTTATCTGCTTGGTCTCAGCGCGCAGTGGCGGGCATATGCATGCGTTGTGCTGCGCACAGCACGCCGCCAGCCTAGCGGCAGCATCAGAGAGAACGCTGCGTCACCCACGTGTGTCATTTTTCTTCATCGTCTATGGATGTGTACGAACCGCTGACGCCGGCTGTGGGCTGGCCAGCGGAATGGACGAAGCGCTTCCTGTTCAAGGGAAGGGAGTGGGTGCCCGTGGAGCGCTTCTACAGCAGACTCGCCGCAGGCGAGCACGGCTTGGATAGCATCTCAGCCGGGCTGGCACTGCTGGAGCCCCCGCCGGCAATGCTACCGCCGCCGCCAGCAGGGGCTGCGGCAACGGCCCCACTCTTGCCAGCACCACAGGCAGCAGCAGCGAGCAAGCCTGCCGCCGTGCAGCGGCCGACAGCAGGGCAGCAGCAGGAGGTAGCCGATCCGGTGGCAGGCGCGGCCGGCGCCGCCGCCGCCGCCGCTCCTGCACAGCAGCAGGGCGGCCCCCGCAGGCGCGCTACCTTCAAAGTGCACCTCGCTTACCACGGCCCCGCATTCACCGGCTGGCAGTGGCAGCCTCAGGTGCAAAACAGCGTGGAACAGATGGCGCGAACAGCGCTGGAGCGGCTGCTCCACAGCCGGGCAGCCGCGGCGGCAGGCGGGGGCGGCGCCGGCGCCGGCAGCACCCACAAAGGCGGCGACAGCCGTGCAGGCAGGCAGCCCACGGTGGCGCTGGCGGTGGCCGGGCGCACAGACCGCGGCGTGCACGCCCTGGGGCAGGTCTTTTCTTTCTACACCTGGGATAGCAGCCTGACGCCCCAGGCAAGGCCAGCCGGCTGCCGCTCCATCGCCCTGCGCTCGCCGCCAGGCGCCACACCAACCGGTGCCCCTGCTCGCCCGGCGCCCAGCGCGGTGCAGGCCATGTTGCAGCCAGGCGGCCCTGCTCCTGCACATCCTTTTTAATTATTTTTGAATGAAATGCCGGCCGGTCCTTCCTTTCCTTTCCTCCCGTTGCAGGAAGTGGTGCGGGCGCTGAATGCGGAGCGGCCGGGCCTCCTGCGCGCCTGGCACGCGGCGCAGGTGCCTCGCTCCTTCCACGCCACCTTTGCGGTGGGATACCCCCCTGCCCTGTATTCCCCTGTGCGGTGGGGATGCAGGGCGGCAGCTGGCTGGACTGGGAGCAGACTCTCTTGTGACCTCCCCGCCCGCCAGCTGGCAGCATGGCTGGAGCGTGGCTGCACATGAAGTGCGCGATCCCCACCCCCAGCCTGACGGCAGGCTGCATGGGCTGTGCGCTGTCGTACGCCGCAGGCCAAGTGGCGCCGCTACCTGTACCTCCTGCCGCTGCGGGAGCCTGAGAACGGCGGGATGCGGGCGGGAGCAGGGGATGCCACAGCAGCAGGGTCGGCGCCGGCATGCGAGCCTGATGCTTCTGCCAGCAGCGCAGGCAGCGAGGAGGAGGGCAGCGGCCAAGGCGGCAGCGGCGGCGGAGCGGGAGGCAGGCGGCATGAGCTGTGCCCAGAGGACGCTACCGAGGTGGATGCGGCCGGTGAAGTGGACGTCGACAGGTCAGCACAGCATGCGCAGCGTGGCAGGTTGCCCACCGGAACCCCACACCCGGAAAGAAAGCAGAGCAACTGCGTCTCCCGCCCCCTCCTCCCTCATTCCCTCACCGCCCTCGGCCACCCGCTGCCGGCCAGGCTGAGCTGCCCTCACCAGCGCCCTCGGCCCTGCTGCCGCAGGCTGGCGGCGTTGCTGCGGCGGCTGGAGCGGCGGCGGCTGGACTACACAGCATTCGCCCGCGCCACGCCCGCCGGCAAGGATCCCCACTGCTGCCTGCTGCGGGCGCGGGCGTGGCGCGGCCGCCTGCCAGGTCCGGTTGGCCCATTGCCTTGCAATGCATGGTGGCTGCCTGCTCGCCTGGCGCTCCTGCCTCCGCCGCGGGACGCGGCATGCCTCTGCCAGCAACCCTCCGCGTCTGTGCCTCCCAAACCCTAGCCAGCCCGCTTGCTTGCTGCAATACCCTTGCCTCCCACACCCTCCCTAACCCTTGCCCTCTCCCTGCTGCAGACCCCCAGCGCACGTCTGTGCTGGCCTTTGAGCTGATTGGCGACCGCTTCTTGCGCCGCATGGTGCGAGTGCTGGTGGCGACGGCGGTGCGGGAGGCCACGCCTGCGGCGGCCTGGTTCCCCTGGCCCCAGGCAGGTGCAGCAGTGGCGGCAGCAGGTGCAGGAGGAGCAGCAGCGGCGGCAGGTGCAGCGGCGGCAGCGGCAGGGGAGGCGCCTGCCGCAGGGCGGCAGCCGCTGGCACTGTTGCTGCCCGCTGAGGCGTCTGCGGCGGCTGACGCGGCGGCGGGCGAAGCCGCGGCGCTGCTGCAGGTGGCCGCCACTCGCGACCGGCGCGTCAGCGCGGCGCCGGCGCCGGCGCAGGGACTGTGCTTTCTGGAGGCTGGCTACTCCCCGCTGCCGCTGTGAGGGAGAGGGCAGCCCTGGGCTCGCCTGCAGCCGCCGCATCCCTCCAGTGCTGCTCCCCTGCCATGCCTGTTTCACGACCAGGTTTGAAAAGGTTTCAATGCAACGCAATCACAATGAACGCCAAGGAGAACAACCCAGGCCGGGGCGTGTTGCCAGCTGGCGCCATGCAGGCCCCCGGTACATGTGTTGGCAGCCCCCATGGCGGCACCAGCCGCTCACTCCAGCACACGCGCCCCCTCCCGGAGCTGCTGTTCTGTCATGGTCCACAGGCTGTCCAGCAGCCCCACCCGCAGGCTGCCGGGCCCCACCGCCCCATCCTCCACAGCCAGCTGCGCCGCCAGCCTGCAGCGGCAGGGCATGGCACAGCACAGCGGTGCGTATCGGGGCAGAGTCAGCAGCCAGGGCACCGCAGCGGCACTTGGCGGCGCGAGGCAGCAGGCCGCGACGGGGCGGTGGCAAGGTATGGTAGCAGCAGCAGCAGGAGCGGGGGCAGGGGCAGGGGCAGGGGCACTGTCTGCAGGGATGCCCTGGGCTGGGGAGCAGGGCACCAGGACATCCCGTGGCAAGCAGTGCACCAGGAGGCAAGGCGCAGGCAGGCGCACACCCAAAATACGCCAGCGCAGCCGCCGTGGCCTCCAGCGGCTGCTGCGGGAACAGGCACACGAAGGCCGCCACCAGCGCCGTGACTGCAGGCGGGGGGGCCGGCACAGGTGCGTGCGTGTGTGGAACAGGGGTTGGTGGGGCTGCAAGACACGAAGCACCTGGTTGCGGGCAGCAGCAGCAACAGCGGCAGCAGCCCCCGGCAGGCAGCAGGCAGCAGCCAAGAGCAGGCGGCAGGCGGCAGGCTCGCCTGAGCACCCTGTGGCGGTGACCTGCTGCAGCAGCGGCACGCCGTTGGCCACCCGCACCACCCTGCTGCCGTCTGTCACCAAGTCCTCCGCCCCTGACACAGCCACCACGCAGCCGTGCCGCGCCGCCAGCTGCTTGGCCGCGCCCAGCGCGTCTGCAGGGGTGGAAAGCTGGCGGTGGGTTGCAAGCATGCCGTCCCCGTCATCTGACCAGAAGCAAAGCAGGACACGCCACCACCGCCAAGAAACAGCGACGGCCACCCTCACCACCACCACCACTCCACCGCCACCACCACCGCAGCAGCAACGGCAACGCCCACGCGCCCGCTCGCACTCGCCTGCGGCTGCCGCGGTGCTGTCGACGCCCTTGACGGCGGCGCCGGCGGCGCCGGCCAGGGCCAGGATTTCAGAGGCGTTGCCGCGCACCACCGCAGGCTTTAGCAGCATCAGTTCGGCACAGACCTGCGGGCGGGGAGGGTGGGCAGGGGTGGGCAGGGGTGGCAGTATGCGTGTATGCATCTCCGCTGGAAGTCGAGAAGGTTGTGGAGCGGCTTGGAAGCGCGCCATGGGGCGGCCAGAGGGCCCCGTGCCCTCCCCGGCACATCCCCCCTCGCCCACCAGCTCACTGGCCCCCTAGCCCCACCCGGGATCGGTGGCGCCGCACCCCAACTTTCATCCAACCCACCACCACCTCCTCCTCCTCTCTCTCTCTCTCACACACACACACACACACAACCCCACCTTGGATCGGTAGGGCGTGGCGCCGCACCCCACGGGGTCCAGCACCCATGGCTTGCCCAGCCGGCCGGCGCGGGCCGCCGCCAGCTTCATGCCGCCCACCCAGCCTTCACTGAGGGTGCCCACGTTGATGAGCACGGCAGAGGCGAGGGCCACAAAGTCTTCCACCTCGCCGATGGAGTGGGCCTGTGGGTGGGCACCAAGCAAAAGTGCAGGAAGGGAAGAAGGAAGGGGAAGGCAGGGTCGGTGAAGAGCGACTACATGGAGGCAGCACAGGGAAGCGGCGGGCAGCTGGAGGGCTTGTTTTTGTGAGGGAGTGCGTGGGATCCAGGGGAAGGAATGGACAGGATGGGAGTGCGGGCGCAGCGCGCGGGCGGCAAATGTGAGGGTGGCAACGGGAAGGCGCAGGGCGAGGCACAGCCACCGCTGCCATGCCGCAACCTCACCATGGCGGGGGAGGCGCCGGCGGCGAGCAGGGTGTTGGCCATGATGTCCTGCAGCACGTGTATGGGATAGGAGGCGGCGGCAGTTGCAAGGCAGGCCGCTGGGGGGAACTACAAGGTGCGAGGCCGCGAGCCGGCTGGCGTTTTGGCGCAAATGGCGGCGGCGGCGGCGGCGGCGGCTCGCCATGGAAACGAAGTTCGTGATGCACTGCACGAGCGGCCCGTTGGCCCTGCACGCCGCCACAGCTGCGGCGACGCCCTGTGCGTCGACTGACAGCGCCATGTCTGCGCTCAGGATTGGCGAGGGTTCTGTGGCCTCAATGCAGGGCTGTGGCGGGCTCAGGAACACGATCACAGCATCCCATGCAGTGTGGAATGCGGCGATTGGCGATGGGTTAGCGGTTTGGGCCCCATCCAGCCAGCGCCCGCCAGCGCAGCGGCAGGCCACAAGTCCTCAGAAGGTGGCCACCCGGCGGCGCCACCCCGCGCATTGCCGGGTTGGAGGTCTCGCAATTATCATGCCGACACTGGTTTTTGCATCGGAGATTTCCCGCAGCCTCTCATCCAGCTCTCCCATCTCGTCCATGCCCAGCGGCGCTCCTAGCTCCTCCTCCAAGACCGCCGCTCGCCTGTGGCGCGATGACGAGGTGCAGGCGTCCGTCATGGCCTCGCTCCACAACCCTTTCGTGCGGGCTCTGGCCCACGGCAGCCTGGCCAGGTGCGGGCGGCGGCGGAGCCGCGCGCCTGCCCTCATTCCAGCCTCGGCCGCGCCGCCATGCCCCTGCGCAGCCCGCCAGCAGTGCCAGGAGCGGTAGGGCGGCCCGCCAGGAGCATGGCGTGCTCTGCGGCGGGAGCACCCCCGCGCGTCGGCCCGCCGCTCGCCGCCGCTGCCGCCTCCCTCCCATGCTCAATGCCAGCGAGCAAGGTTGCTGCCGGCCCGCCGGTTTGCCTTGGACCGCCCCCTGGGCCCTGCTGAGCGCTGCCCCGCCCCGCCATGCACCGTGCAGGGAGGCGTTTCAGAGCTACATAGCCGAGGACGCTTTCTTCCTGAGCAGCTTCGGTGAGCCCTCCCTCCTTGGTGCCCGGAGCACCGCGCTGCATTGCCATGCCTGCGCCAAGGGATGCCGGGACTGCAGGTCGCTCAGCCAGCCGACCAGCTCGCCCAGTGCCAGCCGCGGCCTCTGCCGCCAAGCCGCACCCGCCCTCCTCCACCCCCGCCAACGCACCCACACCCAGCCGCCCCCCTGTCCCCACACCCGCCGCCGCCGCCGTGCAGCCGAGGGCTATTCGGCGGCCATGCAGCGCTGCCCGCCCAACCAGGCGCACCTGGTGGGGGCGCTGGGCGAGCTGCTGCAGGGGGTGCAGGAGGAGTTGAAGCTGCACGACCGCGTATGCTGCGGTGAGGCGTGGGTGGTGTGTGTGGTTGTGTGTGTGTGTGTTTTGTGTGTGCATAGGCTTAAAGAGAGATATTGTGTGTGTTTATACATAGAGGGAGTGTGTTGGGTTTATGTGTGTGGGTGTGACCATGGGTGGGGGAGGGGGAGCGTGGGTGGGTGGGTGGGTCCTGTGTGGGCCGCAGCGGTGTGTAGCGTCGGTGAGACATGGGGATGTGCCAGGTGCAGCCTGGCCGATCAACTGCACCTGACCCCAGACTGCAACGGCCCATCAGCTGCTGGGTTGGCTTGTCGTGCTGTCTGGCTGTGCGCTGCTGCAAGCCCTGCGCGGCGCCCAGCCAGCCGCCGGCACGCCTCCCCGGCAGCTGCTGGCAGCTGCTTGCGCCTGCGGGTCTGGTGCACCGGTTGCTCTCCCTACTGTTGGGCAGCCGTGTGGTGCGGCCCCTGCTCCCGCCTGCCCGCCCGCCCGACCGACCGACGGCCTCACCTGTCCACCTGCCGGCCTGCCCCCACCTGCCTCCCCTGGCCCTTCCTTCCTCGGTCCTGCCGCCTGCCATCCTCTCCTGATGCAGGAGTGGGGCGTGGACCTGTCGCGGCACCAGCAGCCCAACCCCGCCACTCGTGCCTATGTCGACTTTCTTCACAAGGTGGCGGCTGACCCTCGGCAGGTGGGCCGCTGGGCTGGTTGGGGGGGGCTGGGTGGTGGGGACCACGCATGGCAGCCTGCGGCGCCGCTACCTGCCTGTGCTGCTTGACTGCCCGGCTGCCCGGCAGCACTGCTTCCCGCACCGCCGCCTGCTCGATCGCGCGACAGAAGGAGCCACCTTCCAGCTCCGTCACGCTGTGCTGCATTGTACCGCCTGCCTGTACTGCAGGGCGTGGCCGCCATCCTGGCCGCCATGGTCCCGTGCCTGCGCCTCTACGCCTACCTGGCCTGCCAGCTGTCCAGGGCTTTCCCCTTTGCTGACCACGAGTACACGGGTGGGCTGCTGGGCTGCTGGCTGCTGGCTGCGGGTGGCTGCGCTGCGGCAGCGCTGCGGCGGTGACCTCACATGTTTGTGTGTTTGGTGGGAGGTGTGGGTGGCGGCGGACCGGCAGGGCTGCGGTGGCGATCTCACATGTTTTCGAGGTGGTGGTGTGTGTGGCGGAGAGTTTGGGTGGCGAGGGGTGGCTGGTGCGGTTGCGGCGGGCGGGTGAGATGGATGGGTGAGTCCACGCTAGGTGAGCTGGCTAGGGGAAGCAGGCAGCGGGGCGGCTGGCGGGCTGCACGCGGGTTTTGTTTGATGGGCATGGCACCCAAACACGGGCAGGGCGGAGCGCCCAGCCTCGGACGCGGCGCCGCTGCTGCAGCCTTCCGTCGGCGGCCCTGCGCCGCGCCATCTTCTTGGTAGAGTTGGTGGGCTGGTGCTCACGCTGAGGACGGGCACCACGGCGCAATCCTCAGGCCCTCGAGCCTGGGAGAGTGCCCTGGTGCATGTGCTGAGTGTCGCCTTGCCCACATGCTCAGCCAAGGTGCCTGGCGCGGTCGGTGCCAGCCTGCTGGGGGCAGGGCGGGGCAAGCGGGCGTCGGAGGCAGAGAAGGGGGCCGCCGCGCCGCCCCACTCGCCGGGGGCTGTTTGAGCGGCGTCAGTGCTCTGCGGATGTGTGTGTAGCATGCAGCGGGGCACGATCCGCCGGCCCCAGCCTTGGGGCGTACGCAGCGTGGCCTGGTGCGTGTGCCACGAGCGAGCCGCTCTCTCCCCAATGCCCGCCAGGGAACACGGGGCAGCCGCCGCCACGGCGGCCCCAACAGCGCAGCGGGGTCAGCAGCGGTTTGTCAGGTACCCTTCTGCTGGTGGGGCTCCTCCCCCCCTGCCTCCCAGCGGGGCTGGAGCCCGGGTGGCTGACGGTGCACCTGGCGGACCGCTGCCAGGCCGCTGACAACTGTCCAAGGCCGGCCCTTGACAGCCCCTTTGTCTCCTGCACTCTTGTGTGTGGGCCAGGATAGTTGCTGCCGTGTGATGTGCGAGTGTTCTTCGCCAGCGGCCGCCAGGTCAGCGAGCGGGCATGGCCTCGCTCCCTGGCACGGCCGCCGCCGGCCGCGCGCGATCGCCCTCGCCTGCCCGCCCACTGCCCGGCGCCAAGCCGTGTGCCTCCCGTGCCCTTGGGCAGCTCAGCAGGCACCCGTGCCTGGCGCTGCGGCTGCCGCCACACCCCGTCCTTCCACCCTGGCAGCTCCGCACATCACCCGCTTCTCTCAGGCGCCTGCTTGCGCTCTGCAACCACGCATGCACGCACACACACCACAATCACTCACTCACCGATGCCACCCCCTCCCCTGCTCCCCCTGCAGAGTGGGTGCGCTCCTACTCCTCCCACGAGTAACTGCGCCTGCCAGCCAAGGCGGAGGGGGTGCTGGACGAGACGGCGGAGGGCGAGCCGTACGGTGAGCGGGGGGTGGGTGGCGCTGCGCTGCGCTGCGCTGCGCTGCGCTGTGCTGCGCTGTGCTGTGCTGTGCTGTGCTGTGCTGTGCTGTGCTGGGCTTGGCTGGGCAGGGGCAGGGGCAGGGAGGTGTGGGCGAGCTGCGCTGGTGGTGGTGGTGGTGGTAATGGGGGTGGTGTGTGTGCAGCCTGCCTGGAGGTGCCCCGGCCCCAGCGGCCGCGGGTTCTGCTGTATGCTCTCAGGGAGCGGGTTACAGTGGCTGCACGGGGGGTGCCAGCCAGTACAGCAGCAAGAGGGCAGAAAGAGAAGGGAGGGAGGAGCAAAAGAGAGGAGCAGAAACAGGGAGCATCGAGCGCAAGCAACGGTCGCGGAAGCGATTGGCGGCTGGCGGGTGCAGCCACGGCGCCTGGCTCAGCACTCGTCCTCTTGTAGCAGCAGGTTGGGGATGCCGCCGCTGACAGGAAACCGCCGCCCTGCAGCGGCAGCCGGGCAGGCAACGGCAGCGGCAGCAGGCAGCAGGCGCGGGCAGTCGGGCGGCGGCGGGGGCGTTGCGGGCAGGTCGTTGGCAGGCATGGCTTGTCGGGCAATGCTGCCTGCTCCAGAGGCGCCCTGCGGACGCCTCGCGAGCAGGCATGCAGCGCCTGGGCCCCTGCCTGCCCTCCCCTGCCGCCTCGCCCGTGACCCTGCTGCAGCATTGCGCTCTCGACCCCCGCTTGCCCGTCTGGCCCCGCCCCGCTCCGCCCCATTTGCCCAGGAACGCTCGGCTGGTGT